GACCGGCCACGCCCATAGCCACGCCCACTCACTGCCCCGCCCCCCCGCCTTGCATGCACCGAGTTTGCGAGGGCTCAGCCCGCGGGGTTGGGGTCGGTCGCCACCGGGTTGCGCCGCTCGGATTTGGGTCTTTTCCTCCCCCGGGAGAAGGGCGAGTCCCGAAACCAGCAAAGCGAGGCGCTGGGAAATGGATTTTTCGCTTTAAGGGTAAAATAGGTCCTGGCAGCTGGGGAACAAATAGAGCCGGGCTGGTTTACATCATAAATAGCTCACCAGCGTGAAACGGCCGCGTTAACTCCCATCCTCCCAGGAGCTACACTGCCATCCTGCGCCTGAGCCCCCGGTCACCCCACACACACGCCCACGGGGCGGCAGCTGCTTTATTATTTTACACAGAAAGCAAAAAGCATCCAAAAATGCAATACAGGCTCTAAAAATCAGAGTGCCAGGGGAAGCTTTTAACGGGGTGTTGCTGTTTGATCTCCACAGTCGCTCCATGGCAGAGCGGGTGCTGCAAGACAGCCCCTCCCACTGCAGGGGAGATGCTGGCACGCACCTGGCCCCCATCCACATCCCAAATAAACTGCAGGCCTGTGAAGCAGCTTTGTGAAGGCACTGTCATCCTCCCTCCCAAGGACCAGGGAGCAGAAACTTTTGAAGAAACAGAGGAATTGAAACCAAAGAGATAAAAGTAAGCAGTGGCAGTGGGCTCGAGTGCTCCCTCACCACGCTGAGTGGGATGGCGTGGACAATCACAGGCTGGGGGGCTGGTTTTCAGGAGCACCTCTAAAGGATCTGTACTTTTCCCAGGCAAGTTTACTCACCTTCCGCCTACCTCCCCAAAGCTCCGCCGACTGAAGCACCAGCTGTCCATCTGAACAGCAAGAATTCAGAGCGCGGGGAAGGAGCATTGAAAGCAGAAACGTGTACACCAACTTTTACTATGCATATTAATAAATATTCTTTATTTAAATTTTGCACATTGCGCTTTAACATATTACATCCAAAACATTTTGCAAATGGATGTCTACTTTGTAAAATCTTATATTCAGCTCATTGTCATTCTGTACAGAATTATAGGTACAACATTACTTTGCCACTAGTTTGCTTTTTGTAAGTGTCACAGTAAGAGAAACATTTAATGAAAAGAGATGGCTTAAATTATAAGAGAGGCTTGCACAGCTACTCAACTAAAGATACAAGCCTGAAGAAAGAACAAAATTAATGAAATCACCTCCACCAGCCTCCCCTCAAAAAAAACCAAGAAAAAAAGAATCACATTAATTTAAGATAAAATTTTGCCATAAGTCACTAAATTAAGTTTTTGAAAGAGAAGGCGCAGTAGTCATCTTGAGAATTTCAGTGAAAGACAGAGCTATTTTATTGTATTTAGTTCGCTCCAGCTGTTGTCAACCAACCGTTACAAATGGGCCCCTTGTGATCATTTAAGCGGCAGTATTTATTAAATTTCTCCTTCAGATGCTGTCGGTATTGTTCTCTATTGCTGTAAAAAGACTTGTTGTTTGCCATAAAGGACTGTATTTCATCTTGTGAGATAAAGATTTCCTCATCAGAAGTGCATTCAGACTCATCCTACAAATGAAAACAGGCATTTAAGAACTCGAGCACTGTGCAGCACACCTGGCCTGCCACTGTACACACTGTCTGCAGCTGCTCTGAAGAAAATACGCAGCCTTCGTGTCACGACACAAGTCGTAGCTGGCTAATCCAGTCACCCGATTCACACGCAATGCTCTGCAATTTTTTGGGTAACAAGCAGCTTATACAGTCATAAGATCTACCAGAATAAGCTTCAGAGCCTTAGCACGTTGCTGTTGAAAGAGGATGGCTTTTATTAGAGGTGTTTGTTTGTTTGTTTAAAAAAACAGAAGAAAAAGGATGCAAAGCAAGGAGAAGGAAGGAAAGGGAGAGAGAAGAAAGCTGTCCAAGGAGCCTGTAGTGGGAAGTAATATTTGAGGTATGAAGGCAGCAATAATGCCCACTTCATTTTATGGAATAATACAATCCTTGATAATGAATTCTTATAATACAAGTTCTGTCACTTGCACTCCAGTGACAGGCAATTTCTCCTCCCTCTGCCAAGCATCTGAGTTACACACTTTACAGAGCACACGCAAAGGCAAACAAACCAAACACTGGGAGAGTAAGCTGCGAGTTGTAGGTTCAGTTACATTCTCTCTCTTTTAACAGTTTCTCACTGGGATTTGTGTTCTAAACCCCATCCTCCCTCCCAAGGATTTAAAGCTGTAGGCTACAACCTAAAATTCAAAGGAAGTGGTTACTTACAAGGAGTTCCACTAAGCTCTTGGCACCTTTTCCAGTATCGGGAACAAGTGACATTTCTGTAGATTCTGCAAACTGTGACACATTTTTCATATGCTCAAACCAAGGCGACTGCTGCCCACTTTTTTCTGAGCTACAGCAGCTTTCAGCATGTGTGTCTTTGGTCTTGTCGCGATGAAACTCTGTGTGCATGATATTTCCTGAGGTCTCTCTGTTACCTGGATCTGCCATACAGCTTCCAAGTTTCTGAATCTAAAATTGAAAAGAGCCCTTAATGAACTACTAGTAGTGTTAAACCTGAAACATTCAGTGGAAGCAGGAGGGGAAGAGTAAAGGAAAAAGTTCAAAACCAGAGCGAGGATTATATATTGTTTAAATGCATGTGCCTGGGGAGGAGGGAGGAATGGCTCGTTCATTCCCTGAGAGTGCACAGAAGTGCACATCCTTAGGAGAACAGGAAAGAAGAGGCTCCTTCCACCACAACCTATTCTAGGAAGGACCTCGAGTTCAAAACGTGGATGGAGAGGTAACAAAGATCCTCGTTGCCCCACATACAGCATTAGTCACAACTGAAATCCGAAATACTTTTCTAACTATTTCAGAATGTATGCATTTAAATAAGCATTCAGTAATAGCTGTGTTCCTTACATGTTCGTTCTCACACTTCAAAGTTTTACTTTTCTTTTTCTTCTTTTTGTTTTTGCCTTTTGTGTTACTCTCTTCCGAATTAGCCCAACATTCCACACAGCTATCTCCATCCTCCTCTTTGTCATCACAGCGATGGACACATGAATCATCTCCTGCAAAAGACAGGGAATTTTCTTCTCAGATATGTTAAGTTTTGTGGCTACTAAACCAATGCTATGTTCTTACCAAACCTACCATTTTCATCATGGTTGCAGATGCCTTCAGTGCAGGCCACATCTGACCCCTCTCGAGATCCTGTTTCGCTGCCCTCCATGCTAGATGAATAGCCGCAATCGCTACCATTACAATGTGGAGATAAACCTGAGACAAAGTAAAAAGTTACAGTCATCTCTAGTAGCTGCTGCATGTTCTTTAGTTACACCTCTAACAAGAAAGAAGTCTTTAAAAAGAAAAGTTATCTTTAAAAATAGCTGAGCCCTGTTTACCCCATAGATGGTAAATGCTTTTAAAAGCAACAAATAATGACATTTAACATACCTTTCTTAATTTTAGGTGAACCTAATAGGGTACCACTGCTAGGACAGGTGCAAGAAGTGCTTTCATTAGTAACAATAACTTCTACACAGTTGTTAGCTTCTTCGTTGCTACCACAGGCTTTGCAACTACTTTCTGTGAAGTTCGAATTTTCCTTAAAACAAAAACAAAAAAATACAAGTATTGCAAGTACTAAAAGTAGCTCAGCCAGTATCTTTATAAAGGATACTCTTTCCACAAGAAAAAACAGCTGATACTAACTGGTAACAACCACAGCATTGCTTATAATTCTTCAGAAGTAGAAGACAACTGAAAATAAAAACCAAACAAACCACAAACCCCTGCTTTCCCCACAATAATATGACCTACAATTAGCCCATTAAGTTCAGTCAAGAGATCCAGAATAATTATTGCACTTACTTAGTCAATTAAAGCTCTCCCCTCCCCAAAAATGTAATTATAATTGTCTGCAACTAGCATTCGAATTCTGATATTCTAAGTGATCATTAAGAAATGGTAGTTGAAAAATATTCTAGCATAATCTGACCCTCTAGATTTAGGATTTAAAAAACAAACAAACAAAACAAACCAAAAACAACAACAAAGCCACCAAACCCCCAAAAGCCAGGGAGTTCCAGGCAAATACTTTACAAAAAGATGGTACTAATCTGAAAAAGTATTAAATTCCACTAGTGATCAAAGCCCAGTTCCCAAAACTGAACTCGAGTGAAAACCTCTCAAGAATTCTAACATGGAACAGCAAGCTGATGAATGAAGCACCAAATTAGCAGTCGAGTTATTTACCCCCAGCAGAAAGCCACAGCTATCGACGTTTACCTTTGCTTGATTTATTTCCTTCTCTTCTGTTGCCTGCAAAGGAGCAGGGATCTCACACACACACTTATTTTTCCGTCTGTTCTTCCGTTTTTGGCGCTTCTTCTCTTGTTTAAGCTCTCGCACTCTTTCTTCTTCTGAAAATTCTTCACAGAGCTGTTCCAACCGACTAATACCCTGCACTTTTTCCACAGCCATCTGTTTATAAGAGGTTAGATCTATTTATAGATGTTAACACAATTCAAGCTTTCACATTTATAAAAAAGGAGGAAGAAAATAGCTGGTAAGTACTTTTTATAATAAAGTCACAGCAACACAACTATTGACTGTAGAAGAAAAACACCTATCCAGATTTAGTCACTAAATTTAGATTGCTGGAGAAGACACACGTACAGGGGTAGCACTGCATTTAAATTATGGCCCAAATTCCCAATTTTCAGTTAAAAGTTGCAGACTTGAATGTTTTTTTGGATGTGTGTTTACATGGTAGATACTCTGATTATCTAACACAGCAGCACAGAAAAACACATTAGAACTACTGCTACAGAATTCCTGCAGCTCTTTGTCGAGGGTAACCAGTGAAAAATCTAGCTGATTTTCTAGGCAGGTCAATTTTGAAGTAAAGATGTATCTCAAAATATAGCAAGTATCTAAATATGTTCCTTAAAAATAAGTTTAGAACAATATCACAATGGCACGTCTACATATGGAGTTACAAGAATCTAGTTAAACTAGTCAACTATTCCGGATCAATGCTCCTACAGAGGTAAAAATAATTCTCTTTTTTTTTCCCCCCATCCCAGATCACCCTGGGAACTCCTTCAGCCAAAATGAAACATCATCTTTCCCACTCACCTTAGAAAAGGACTCCATATAAAGATATAGCAGTTCTACACTTCAAATTCATAGCCAACCATGCATACCAGTATAATTACCTGAGCTTTACAATCTAAATGAGTAGCACCATACTTTACTAGATTAAAAAAACATCAAGACAAAACCTGACAAAAATGTCACAGTGTACCCAGTCCAACGCCACTTCCACAGCATTATAAGTCTTTAAAAAAATTACTTCTAAAAAAACCTCCAAGAACTAACTAGACTGGGGTGCCACTGTGATCTTTCTCAAATTGATTTTTTTCTTCCTCCTCTGATGTTTTACAAGTTTTTAGACAGAGCAGTCATTTTGAATGGAAGATAAGCAAAACAGAAGAGATTTATGTTGTGCCGAAGGGGAAGTATACTACTGGCATACGTTAAAGGAACTGCATGGATTTCTGTCTGAAGTCCAAGATCCCACAAGATTACAGCGTGCATTTGGAACATGCCGAATGCAAGAGTTAGCAGTCGTGTCTGTAATCCAAAAGCACATCCTCCATTTTTACTAATAAGACAAAACTGTTGCAGCCAGTGCTACTTTAAATGCTGTCAGGTAGAAATACCTTCACTGTGAATTAAAAACACAGAAGAGCCCACGTAGTGTAACGTGCAGCCTGGAAAGTAAAAGCAGCAAGCCTCAACCTTTTATGTTCTAGTAGACTTCACATCGGAACGCAACTCAGTTGTGCTATGCATTGATTCTACACAACTGCTGCCTGCAGTGAACAAGGGACTGCAGCCCAATGTTAGTAGAAAGCAGAAAAATAACTTCAGTGAAAATGCACCCAGTTACTACAGCAATTCAAATACAAGTTAGATAAAATTTGATTTTTACCTCAAAGCTTTTGCGTAAAGCATCAACACCCAGGTAAAAAAGCATCTGCCACGTCTGTTCCTCAGCCCGCAACTTTTGCCAGATTCGGTGCAATCTTTCATAAAGATGAATACCAAGGCAGGTCAAAACTTCTTCTTGGGCTATGTCTATTGTCTTAGCATGCCTTTCTCTTCGTCTAAAGGAAGGGTTGAACCAAAGTATAGCACAGTTAAAGCAGCTGGAAGGCTACCAAGAGATCAAAGCAGTTCAAAGATGTATTTTCTTTATGTACAACTGAAGATACGTTTGCATGAACAGCTTTTTAAATCAAGTTCTGCTGTGCTGCATGCAGATGCAAAATAGAAAGGACCAGGTTAAAACCACCACTACATTCCTGACATGATAATCTGTGCACAGCATTCAAACCTGTGACTTCTCAAGGTGTTGCCCCAGCAGTCTCTGCTTGCCCCTACTAGGAGGGATCAGCAGAGTCTTAATGTCAAAGAGATGCAGCCATTTTGTTTCCTAGAATTTGTATTTAGTTAACTGAAGCTGAATAAACACACATAGAAGTTTACACATTAATTACTGTACAAATTAAAAATATTTCAGCATTAATCTGTATCGATCATCTATTAAGGAAAAATCATTATAAAAGGATTTACCCTCCTAAACAAAGAGTTATGATGCTCAGAATAGTGTTTGTTATTGGAAAATTTTAAGATGCTAAAACAGATTCAGAAATATCAATAATATACAAATGGTGACAAAACTAAATTAACACTTGGCATTTGGTAAAACTGTCAACCAAGGTTCTCTTTCTATTTCGCATATTTTGAACACCTCAGGGGAAAAGCAGGCAGCTCTAGTGGGTGAACAAATGAACTAGAAGACATTTGGCAATATTTTTCAGTCTTGCCTTCAGAGTTAAATGCACTTTAAAGTCAAAAGCACATACAAAATTTTCACTACTTTGAAGCACTATCTCAAAAGCCTACTTCAACATGAACATTTACATCCAGAAGTTTATTATGCAGCAAGGAGGCAAAAATCACTTTTGCAAAAGACATTCAATAATAAAATAAAGAAGCAAAGCGCTAGATAGCCCACTCTAGCAAATTACATACTCATACCCTCCTGCGAACTCTGGTTCGGCTCGACCCAAGAGGTGCGCGATGAAATCTGTTTCGCAGCACACGTGTATGTGGCGCTCGTGGGGACAGCAGCGCAAGCCCTCGTAGAGCGCGGCGCAGTAGCCCTTCTCTTTGCTGCAGTCTAGCTCGCCAATAAGAATATTGTATGCCCGAAGGACTTTATTTTTGCAGTCAGTGCAAAACCTGTGTGAAAACAGAACATAACAGGACTGAATTCTTATTGAAGCAGAAACGTAGACCCACGTAATCTAAGTTACGATACACTGAGCTATTTCACAGAGCATGCTATATTTAAACTGGGTCACATAAGGTTTATGTTACTTCAACAGGTAAAATCGTAAGACTTTGGCAGTAAGCCACCTAAGTTTACTATACATATTATGCTGCCTATCATATATTACAAGTCTGGATATCAACTTTCATGCTCCAAGGCATAAATCAGGCTACTTGTTAATATGAAAAAATTCCTATATGGATATGCAATTCCACGGTCGCTCAAAGATCAGAAATCTAATAGTGAACAAATGGAATCATTAGTACAAGCCAGGATAAAATCTCTCTCAAGTAAAAACACTCCAAGTTACTTTATAGCAATTACTTAAAGTGGACTCAAGTGAGTGATAAGCAGTAAGAAAAAAAGTTTCCTCTGTTGCCTGCTGTATAAGAGCAACATTTCCACTACAAGCACCTTCAAACATATTTTTAATTATTAGATTACTGCACAGATAGCCAAACAAGATTTATTTATAACACAACATATTCAATTTAAACATGTGATAGCTCAGATAACTGAGAAAAGCTTTGTTATGAAGTCCATTATAATTAAAATACAACCAAATTAAGCTCATTCTAGTTTATAAGAGGCGCAGTCTTCAAGAAGCTACAAAACCTCTTGCTGCATCATCCTAAAAATGCAAGTCAGACAAGCTGCTCACATTTCAGCTTTCAGCTTGAAAAGCTGGCTCTTCACGCCATCTCTGGATGGTGTTTTTCCCTTCCCTAGTTTGTCCAGTCACTTGACAACACTAAGTCAAACATATTTTGATGTTTGATAGAGCTATGATAACTGGCTAGTTTCTGCGGTGAAAGGAGAGAAAACAGCAATATTATTGCAGGTTACCATCGGGAACTCTGCCAACACCACCTTTAATGTCACACGAGATTAAAGTTATTTTGTTTCCAAAGTGCTATTTCCACACCACCACCCCCGCACCCACCTGTGCCCCCACAGTTTCTATCAGAACCTTGAGACTACTGGAAATTAAAACTTTTTAATCAGCATGGTAGCTACTGTACACACGCAACAATAATTTGGTGGCCTGTTTTTATCCCTGCAAGAGGAAACTAAGTCATAAACAACTGTTTTAAAACAGTGATTTACAAACAACGCCAAGCCTAAAATCTGCTTCTGTTAGTTCAGTTCCCATTATTTTGAAGTTGAAAGCCTAAAAGAAGGCACAGTCCCAAACAGAGAGGCTACTGGTGAAAGACTGAAAGAATATACACAGTTTTAACAGAGAAAATCCTAAATCATAATTTAATCCTAACAAAAAAAATAAGACAAGTAGCTATGACATCATCTGAAGTCTCCACATTCCCCCTACCATAAACCACAACAGCAGGTAAAACAGAGTATTTCACTCATCCACTTTTACAATGCAATCTGGCAAGGTTCTCCATCACCATCAAGCTTATATCTTAGCTTTTAGAAGGGTATCAGAAGAGTCCTCTACACTTTTAAACATTGTGTGAACTCTACATACATTTTGATTCAACCAAAACATGCAGCACACATTCCTCAAAATGAAGGTGTGTCTTTGCTCTTTTAACATACCTGTGTTTTCGTAGATAGGTTTCTAATGTTTCTAAAAGACAACTAGAGTCAATTAAAACTACTTCATCCCTGCATTCCTGGGACATGAGCTCCCACACATCCATCCAACAACCCCTGCAAAAAAAAACCAAAACAAACCAAAACCATAAGAAACAAAAGACTGCACATTATCCTGTTAGGGGTTTAGAAAAGCAGCAAAATAAAGCATCGTTAGTTTACCTGACTCCTCCCTGGAAAGGTCCATAACGGAAAGCGATGCTACACTTGCTCTCCTTCTTCCTCCTGTCTTGACTATTTTTCTTATTTGCACTTAATTTCTCTGTACTGAGTGTCCTACTGCTCCCTTCACTGTCACATAGTATTAAAAACAATTTTTTTTTTAACTTATACCATATTGTGAACTAGTTATTTTTCCTAGACAAATGCTACGAAAATGCTACTGTGTTCTTTAATGTACTTCGAATCCTTTACAGGCTGAGCCTCAACTTCCAGTAAAGTTAGGGTCAGACATGAAATACAAATTTTACTGTCCATGTTTATCAACACAGATTCATAATGACTTTTTAAAGTTACAGTTGAAAGCCAGTTGTAATTTTTCAGAATGATACCTTAAGTATAAACATATACAAGTTTTAACACGTCTGGCAGATTAAATTTCATATGACAACTTACTTAAAAAACCCCAAAACAACCCACAAATAAAAAAGTAAAACAAAAACCCCAAACTTCTACACATCTACCGCCATAGAGAAACCATGAAACACCCTACATTAAACTTCCAAAACTTGTTAAAAACACTTTACAATGCACATTTGGATATGCTAAAAGTACACTTATAGAGTAAAGAACAAACTTTAAATAGCAAGCCATGTTTGCTTACAGGCTTGTCTACACTTGACATTTTATCAGCACGGGCATTTCTGTTTAAGCTCATGTATGGATACAGCTGAGAAGGAGAACAAGGGAAGAAGCACTGCTATTTAATAATTAGCTCCTCAAGAGTATTTATGTATGCTATTATCTAGTTTGCCAGATCGTATGGCTTGCATTTATGAGAGGTTAAAATGCTCCTTAGCCCCGAATGGAACCGAGTAGCCATAAGCCAGGCACACTGAAACCGAGGACGTCAAGTAACTCTCAAGTGGTATTAGCCAGTTACGTAACTCGTACAATTAAACACACAATTACAATTCAAAGCCTTTTTTGTGTGTGTAAAATGCCTAACAGATGCAACTCATCTGAAGAAGTTTCTGGTAATGAAGTCGAGCAGAAACTCTTAAGTTGATAAACAAAATTTGTTCTGTAAGACAATTCTCTTGGACACCTCCATGTCCAGGCTGTCAGCATATTTGCTTCCACTCAAGGCAGCAGATTTATTTGGAGAAATATCAGTACTGATACACCCTGATCACTTCTATAGCCTGACAAATGGGTATCGACTGAGCAAGCAAAGTGCAAGCGTGTTTCTCTAGCAAACTACGCTGATTGTCCACAAGCCATGTTATCAGATAAAGCTGAAAGCTTTACTTGCAGTATATTAAAATACTGCTTTTCCACATATTCCCTATTAATCTGCCAGCATTCAAAATACTGAGGGGATTTTTCCAGCATGAATTGAGGAAAAAAAGGCAACATTTTCCTCTCTATTCATTCCGTTTCACAACTGTTCCGCCTTGACAAAATGGTAAGCACAGGTTCCATGATATATGTTCTTAAACAGAAAAGATTAATCTTATTTAAAACAAAGCAAAAAAATTTAACATTTTCATAATGCTCCAAATTTGCTTTATTTTTTAAAAATGTACTCCTATACCCCTATGATCCTTTGCTTGTGTAATGTAAGCTTTAAACTAATTATATGAAAGGTCTGTAACCAAAATATAATAGGAGATAATGATTAGCTACCACTATCCTCAAGCAGCACAAGTGAAAAATCAAGTGTCAAATTCCACATGCCTAGCATCTCAGGGGATTTATCTAAACCCAGAGAGACTCGAGTCTGCATAGAAAAACACACGTCCCGTAACTGGAAACCATGACCAAGCTTTCACAGGTTGTACGCTGTACAACCAGAAGCAGAACACAACTGACTGAAAAAGGTTCTGGACACTCCAACTAAGCATAGTAGTCCAATTTAATGGTCATCATATAAAAACCAAACCAAACATTGCACAAACAAGAAAACCGCTCAAAATCTACAACAGATTTACAGGGAGTGGTTTTCTGGTTAACCAGCTGGAATAAACCATTTCAGCTTCAAGACACAGAAGTATATATCAGCATTTTTTTCACTGCTGTATTCAAAACATGCTGTCACATTTTGAGAAAATACGTTTTACAGACTTTTAGTTTTAACCCTGCAGCCCAACCACAATAAAGCCCTTTACTAGTTGTGCAAGGCATTTTTAATAATCCTAAGTAAAATTATGTATATTTGTTTAGCATGTACCCTTTCACCTCAATGTGAGGAAAAACTGCTGATCAATCATTTTGGTGTAGAGCACAAAAACCAGTTTGTCTTTCTAGAGCATTGTTTATATCACAATGCAGAAGCCATCCATGCCCTGAGCAGACTATATTCCAAATTATGTCAGATGAAATATAAAAAGCACAGAGAGCACTGGTTTGTAATGGCCAAGTTGTGTTTTGGCAATTGGTTTTGAAATTAAACATGGATGTTTATATTAAAAAACCACCACAAACAAAACAGCCCATCACCAAGCAAAAGATCCAACAGCCAAGAGGCAAAAATAAAACAGCCAGAAGTAACAAGGAAAATTTGGGAAATAGCTGATTTCATATAGTAGCCTTAAACTTTCTATGAAAGCATCACCAGGTGCCTTAGCGAGCTTTAACAAAGGGCAGTGGGACAACTCTCACACTGAGGAAGGAGTAAAGATCTTAGGTTGGCAGGGCAGAAGACCTTATTCCACTAGTTTTGTCTAAAGATTAACCATCCTACTGATGAGACTGTTGCTCTTACCGCACTAAAAAGGGCTAACTACCATCTTACAAAAACCTATGATGGAGAAAGGCTCATGCCCTACAACGTACACTGCCCAAAACTCCTGCCTGGGTGCCTCTGTTCCCCTCCCTCACAACTATTTGAGTCTACTATAATCCAAACATCTTGGAGATTACTACTCTGGCAAACAGATAACAGCATAAGAATTGATCTCAATGCTTAAAAATATATTAGTATTAATAGTTTGGTTCCTTTAAATATTTTAGATTGAATCCTGTGTGTTCAACACAAACTTACCCTAAAGGTTTTGGTTTGTGTGTGTCCAGGGAGTGTAACTGACATCTCTTGTTCTTCTTACTTTTGGGAATTGCATCAATCATATCATTCAGTTTGGACCTACAGAAAAAACAGTAACTTAGTATTTTGAAAACCTGGTTATACAGAGAAATTTTAAAGGGTCTGACTCAGTTCATGTATCAGAAACAAGTATGCTAATGAACATTAAATCTAAAACTTTCCTCCTGTCCCCCATTTTTACTCCTTATAACATACAATCCTGCAGTACACAAAGAAAATACAGTATAGATTTTCCAGACAAACCCTAGCAAGCAAGATAAAGACAACCCACATCTAAAAAGCTATTGCATAACTTCGTAAATAACAGACCTTGAGCAATGACATCTATTTCAAAAGCACAGGGAACCACTAAGACCACTTTATCAAGTTACACTACCTCACCCTCCACATCTCAATATCCCCAGCTCTGCACTAACCTTTCCTACTTCTCACTGGCCTGCTAACTGGAGCAAGAAGTAGAATGAGCAGAAGCCAACTGGAAGGTAAAGGCACACTGTGGTGAGCAGCCACTGTTTGTTCTGCTGACAGCTGAGAAACAAATGGCACTGAGACTGAGGCTACTTACTGTGTTAGCCAAACCCAGAAGGTTTCGCTTGCCCAGTGTTACCTTTCTACCCAAGACCTACCACAAGTCTGGGGGTTTTTTTGTTTTGTTTTCAGTGAGAAGAGAGGTGGGCAGGGAGGCTGTTAATTTTTTAAAAAAATTTACTTTTTACACACAAAGTAGAGGAGCAAAGAAACACTCAACAAGTCAAATGCACACGAAGTAGCTTCCATTTTCCTCAGATTATTATTATCTGAGCAGTTCTAAGACAGGTGTGCATCTAACTTACCCATGCACGTAAAACAATGTATAAAGCTTCTTTGCATCAGTCATACAGCTTCGAGTTACAGAAAGAACCCCCTTTGGCCCTACTGTTAGGGGCTCAAGTGCTGGATTTCCAGACTCAACAAGCTGAGAAAACAGACGTTCCACGCTACGGCGGCAGCCGACGCACGGGACCAGCTGAGAAAGCGCGCTCAAAACTTCACGCGATGTCACCATCATGGCAATATTTAGATCCTGCTGTTTAAGCATGCTGTGTCTCTAAAAAGAAGAATGAGAAATTAAATCATTTTAAAAAAAAACCCCAAAAACCAAACACATCTTGAACTGTTCCAAGACTTCTTTACCTTCATCAGAATTTCCTTATCAAAATACAACTGGAAGTGGAAACACTGTCAGTGCTCAGAGTTTCTGGTCACTGTCTAACATCTTTCTCCTCTTGTTCTCTCCTCCTACCACTCAAATGAGCAAATGCTGTTTCCAAACAAATGGCACACCTCCCTACCCTTACCAGGAAGCCCTTTTTCCTCCACCTCAGCACAAATGTTTTAGTAAAGGGTCTCACATACAACTCTGCAAGTTTTCATCTTCTATTCACACTTGTTTTATCTTTGGCACAGAGAAATTCCTGGATTCTCAGTGGCATATATGGAAATCTCATTTACAACAAACTTGCTCTGTTCAGACCAGGACAATTTAGCAGTATTTTTTTCCTGGAAGGCTAAATGGCATTTCACATTACAATTCTAATAGCTGAAACTTCAAAAAAGCACACATTGCTATTCAGGGTGAAACGCTGTACTTCAGTAGCGAACGTTCAATGTGCGCTAATAATAGAACATTAAAGGTAACACCTTCTACTACTCTTTACGTCAATAAACAATGTTAGGAGCTTCTCCTGGTTCCTCTGTCAAACACATCCAGACACACATATACACAAAAAGCACATACCCTTCTATTGCTTCTTCTAACTGCTAAATTACTGGCTTGGACTTCACCAACACTGAACTGCCACTAGCACGGCTATACAGAAGAGAGAGTTTCCTCCTCACACACCAATCAACGCATCTACACTTAGATTATCAGCACTACTGGTGCTCTCCAACATAATCTGTAAAAGCAGAGTCCTGCCAGTGTATTAATTGCCATTTTTCCCTGGTTATACAAAGTACAGCTCTGTAAGTACTGTTGTATCTATACAGAAAATATTTTGCCACTATAGCATTTTCTGTATTATTGTTGTATTACACCACTTAAACATTCCTAATGTAGAAATTACCTGTCAACTTCTGGAGAAAGAAAGAAAAGACCACACAACATATCAATCACACGGAACGTGTACATACATCAATTGAAAAGAGAAAATATTTCCAGCTGATTTTATGTAATAGGTGTTATGAAAAGCAAAGCTATGATCAGATAACATTTAAGGCTTGTGCCCTTAAAGGCAGGCACATTAAATAATCTGACAAGCGATATCACTCTGCAATAATCCTCTTTCCTGTAATTAATAGTACCAGTTACAGCAACAGCAGGAATGAGCTATTTTCACAACACAGCTATGCTTTATATCCAGCACATGTCTGACCTGCTGCTGTCAAACCACAAGTGAAGAAGTGCAAGCTGCATATCAGCAAACCGGCCCGTTCCTTTGGACATCAAGCAGCACGATGTTTTTTATTTGCTACAGGTGTTACAGTGCTGTGGTTATTCGCCAGAGTGCTAGCAGATAAGTTTCTATAATTAAAGCCTCAGCTTCAGGGGCACCACAAAACCATCTCTCACTACTGAACTGTATATAATCTATAAACTGGCACATGAATTCTATTTTGGTATTGTACTAATCATAAGAACTCAATCTTAAGCAATGCACACTTCCACATGAAAAAGTAGTTTAGCGGTATTTAGGAAAAAAAAAAGTGTATTTAGAAACTGTAGTTTCTATGAGTTATAAGTTGGCAGTAACCAGAAGGTGCATTGTTTTTACAGCTTTCAGTTCTAACTAGATATGCAGCAATTGCCTCCTGGCGAGACAAGAGTGTATAAAAGCTGTGAAATATAGAAAATTAATGCACCTGGTATACTTTGGTACCAATATGTAACTGCACAGAGATGCTGGCATGTCTTTTAAGTCATTCCAGGAGTGACAACCTCCTAGAGAAGCGAAAGCACAAATCTAATGAAAGCAAGATCTGGCATGTGGCCTTCTTAAAAACCAGAAGGATGTATTTACCTGAATGAACTGTTTTAATTGTGCACCATTATTCTGATGTCCATCAAGGTTCAGCACGTTATCAGGAAATTCCATCACCATCTATACGTAAGAGGGTAAAAAAAAAAAAAGCTTTCAGAAAAAAGTCAAACACAGCACTGGTTTATTTTAGTTTCTTGGGGGAAATGAAATAGAAATTATGTTAAATGCTCATTCTTTTCGTGTAACTATTGGAAGCTTTGGAAAGGATAAAAATAACAGTTTAAGATAGCGAATGTTTCAGCAAAGTAACTAAATGTTTCACTCATATAATGTTCTAGAGGCAGTTTATAAATGGCAACCCTCAAATAGCTGTTACAGAGAAAGCAAAAGGTGCTGAATAGCACATCAGTATTTACATTACACTGTCTACATGACTTGAGACTGTTTCAGTTGAAGAAAAATTGTATTTCATCACACTGAGACTCAAACTGATCCAACAGCCTAACTCAATTTATAAAGCTATGGAGAAACAGTCCCAACAGTTTAACGACCGAGTCAACTCCTTCAAAGGCTAATTTAAAACCATATTAACCCAAAAAGGTACTCTGAGGTATACTTTGTTTTGTATGATCGCAGCTGCAGCTCTCAAGAGGCTCCAAGTAAAATGTTAAGCCTACAGAACAATGTGATTATTCATCAGTAATTAATAATATTTCTTTTCCAATTACTAATCAACAAAGAGGGCAATTTCTGGCAGCGACGGAAATCAGTAAAATAATTTGCAGTCAAAAATCCAACTTTACAACCCTGGAGAAAAATGAAACCAACTAGAAAAATGAGTAAAGACTGGCTTAGTTGATCTTCTTTGTCCAAACTGAGAAATATAGAAGTTATCAATATGAATATTGAAAGTTCACTATACAATCTGAAAGAAAAATAACAACAACTTTGGTTAATGTCTCTAATACCAATCAACACCAAATGAAATTGTCCAATTCATCCTTCTTCCTCCCTCCACATACCCTCAATTGTCTAGTAAAGACAGAATTCCCTGCTGTCTTTGTAACTGCTGACGCTGCCTCCAGAGAACTCTCAGATTTACTTTTACAGGCACTCAACACTGCTCCAAAATAAACATCTATTCTCTAAGGCCAGAGAGCAAGGCGATATTTTGATCTCACACGTGCTGGAATCGGAACATTACTACAGTTGCCTTATCTTTGTGCAGAACAGTGTCACAGTCCCTGCTAATTCTGACCTCTCATATTTCTTTTCCAGATTCCCTTGCACCTGCCCCGTGCACGCTGAGCAGCAGCACAAGTTTTCGCTGCAGAATTACAGGTTCCTCCATTGCTAATTTGCTGTAACTGTGGGGAATGAGCTACATGCAAAAGTAAAAGCTTTAACTGCTCATAACAGAGAGAAGAGATAAATCTGCATTTCCCCCCCGCCCCACCTTCATCTCCCACTATCAGACAACACCCTGAGGTGTTCTGTACAACAGAGTGAAATTATCAAAGACAAAATTAATTCATGTGTCTGTCTGATGAGATTTTATTAAGTGGTTAAACATCAACCACCATCACACCCTGAATGGAAGAAAAAAATCCCAGAATACCACATCAAATGCAATGCCTTCTAGAAATCATAAGAGCTGTTCAAGAAATGAAAAGGGTTAAATATTTAAACTTAACCTTTAATTTCTAGTTGAGGCATAAGAAACTGAAAAGCACGATAGTGAAAATTCATTTAGAAGAGCAGTATCACATCACACCTAAACAGCTTTCTATGCTCCCACAGAGCAATGCTACAAGATTAAGAGCATTACAGGCCATTCATTTGCTAATTTGCAACCACTGATTCACTATTTCTAGATTTAAGGCATAGATTAAGTCTGCCAGTTGACTAACAGAAATGAAGCAGTCCCATTATTTTTAAAATTTTGATTTTAAGAGGTCCACACAAGCCAGTTACTGTCAACAAACACCACTATTTTTAAAGATAATGCTGCTGATATAAAATCATGTTTCAAAGACAGCTGCATCTCTTGCAACAGCTCTCATTAAGAATTTAAAAAAATAAATTATAGAAGACTGAGACAAGGAAGTTAAAAGTTCATTCACTTGCTTCTTCAGATTTATGTAATAAAAACCTTCAGAAATCACCTAGAAATCCGACTACTTTGTAACAACAGTAACAGAACGGGAAAAAAAATGGACCTGAGATAAGATTTCTTCACGGTGAGGATGACCTGCACTTGCACAAATGCCTTTCATCCAGATGGATACAAAACTGATCTCTTCAGTCACGAGAATGGCTTGCCTCTGGTGTAAGAAGTAGAAGGACAGCAACAACGCAGTGCAATGGCACAAAGCTTGGGTCTGGCACTAAACCATGGAACTAAACGACAAATGGAATTTTAGGCCAGTTGAAGGCGGGGGCAAGGAAGAGAGAAATCTAAGATCTTAAAACTACATGGAGAATGGAGGGGGAAAATAACTTTCAAGGCATGGCCAAGACATCAAAAAACCCCAAACTTACACTATTCCTACACAGCCCTGAGTTTTCCAGGTAATAAACCACTCTAGGAGAGCTGGATATTGCTTTGGACAACTTAGGAGGAAACTTTGCCTAATGTATAAGCACAGTTAACTGGAGATGACAGACTACGTAAAGCCAAAAAAAATTGTGACATTTGGTAAATTAGTACTATGCCACCATTTATAAACGATCAAAACTAAAACACAGCAAAGACCTTCTCTTCAAATGTAACAAAAACAGTTGGGATTGAGACAGATAATCTTTAGTGCTGGGATGCAGGGCTGATACACTGCATGAAGATACTCAACTGTTTTGTTCTGGAAGATGGAAGAAATTACATTACGATGTTCATCAAGTTAGCTGATGCAAGTCAGGTATTCTCCCATATTAAAGCATGAAATTAGGAATTTAAAGCACATGCACATTTTACACCATTTAAAGTAACAGCGGTTGCCATTACACCACTGACAGCGGCAGCAATCAGATATGAATAATTAAGATACCAAATTACACTAACTCCAAATTTTATTTTCAACCCAACATTTTCAGAATTAAATTAAGAACTAAAAAACTAAGAAGAATTAAAGAACAAATAATTAAGACAAACAACAACTGGCTAGTTAGAGAATTTTTTTCTATTTTCCCCATGTTCACCCACGATGCAATTTCTGAGCCTTCCTCTAGACATGTGGGGAAGAGAAGAAAGACTACAGAGCCTCCAAGCTGCATTTAGTTCATTTTTCCACTGAATCTTCTGGAAATGGCAAAACCCCCACATTTTTTCAGTCCAGAATAACACACAGAAATTGAAACTCTCCCAGATTTGTCGCTGCAGACATGGCAGCACATTTTTAGGGACTCAGTAACCCTTACTTCAAGCCAAAGGTATCAGAAATACCTTTAGCCTTTTCTTGCCTATTTAAAAGCATGATTATTAATTACCTAGTCGTGAAGCTGGGGTTTAACATTAATATGGCTCCCTTCCTTAATTGAAAAATGGCTTTGCTCCACATTTGGGCTGGGACACCAAGACACGCTTGTCACTTAAAAACAATTTATGTGCAGGTCCCAATACAGCAATAACTTTCTTATTCTGCGGTTTGGGTGTTTTTAGAGCTGGGAATCAGATAACAGAGTTGCCACATTAAGCGCTGCTAACCCCAAGTGTTGCAAAGTCCTGAAGATGAAGGCTGCAGGAGGAAAGGAGGAGCCTGGGAGGCCTGTCTAGGGAAAAGGCCTCGCCGGGGAATTGCAACACCCCGCCCGCACACGGTGCGAGGGACAGCGGGGGTCGGCGGGGCGCAGGGACTCACCGTGAGGGTGTCATCGATGTAAAGGGGAATCTGCCTCTTCTCGAAAGGGAATTCCTCCTCCCCGTCTCTGCACACTGCAACCAGCCGCGCCATCGCT